TCTTTTGATTTTTTCAAACATTTAAAATATAAAAGCCATCCTTAGCCCCCAGACCTTCTAAATTGAGCTCTCTAACTTTTCATCCCCGGCAAACGCGCTGCATGTTCAGCTAATAACTGAACAAAAAGGCTTGAATCAATGTTCACTGAATTGAACCAAATGGGGATTTGAACAAACACAGTAATTTTTTTTTATCAGCAAAAACGTCTTGGAATTTGAATCTTATAGAAACCCCGTTTGGAACAAATGGTGTTTTATTAGTAAAATTTTACGTTACGGGCTCAAATGGGTAACATTTGTGAATTTTGATGAATATAAAAATCAAGGAAAGGGCCAGATGGCTGTGTGGAGACTCTCTTTGATTAAACTGTCCAGATGCTTTGAACGAGGAGAGAGAAGGAAGTTTCTGTTCCAAAGCAGAGCCACTGACGTATGTAGGGTGATTTATATCCTTATTCATAAATATCAAAGTCAGACAAGAAGCATAAAAAACTTCCAGTAAATGACAAATACATCATCATGACAGAGCGTGTCACGAGGTATCTTTAAACAACGGCCTCTCAGGGCTGTGACAAGGGCAGGTTACAGCTATTCTCCCACAAGTTTGTGGGAGTGGGGAAAGCAAACCTGAATTTTTAAAAGAGCCATGCAGGAGACAAACTTCCTAACCACTGGCATATCTGCAAAAAAAAAAAAAAATGCAAACTCGGGGACTTGCCGAAGAAGCCTGATTCCCAGGTGGGCACGAAGGGGAAGCAAGAGGAAGCCCAACGTAACAGGCAGATGGTCTCCACGGGAGAGCGCTCAGTGTGTTTTTGAGCCTCTGAATGTTTATATTTTTAGTACAGCTTTTTAAACATTTAGAACGTTCAGATTTTAAAGATGCGATAAAATGCATGTAACATAAAATCGCCATTCTTCCCATTTTTAGTGTAGAATTCGGTGACATTAAGTACATTCGGATTGCTGTACTTTTTCATCATCCCAAATATTAAGAAACAGCTCCCTATTCCTCCCTCTCCAACCCCTGAAAACCACCACCCTACTTCCTGTCTCCATGAACTTGACTATTCTGGGTAGCTCGTCTGAGTGGAATAATTCAGTATTTGTCCTTTCACGACTGGCTAACGTTAAGTAACTCAGCATGCTTCCAAGGTTCATCCATGTAGTTGTATCTATCAGAACCGCCCTCCTTTTAAGCCTCACAGACATTCCAGTGGGTGTGTGGGCCACATTGTTTACCCATCACCCATCAGTGGACATTTTTCCATCTTATGGCTGCAGTGAGGAGTGCTGCTACGATCATTGATGTTCAAGGATGTGAGTCCCACCTTTCAGTTCTTCGGGGTTTATATTGAGGAGCGGAATTGCTAGATCTTACGGTATTTCCCTGTTGAATTTTTCTGAGGACTCTCCATACTGTTTTCCACAGTGGCAGTGCCCACCAGCAGTGCCCATGGTGTTCCAATGTCCCCACATCCTCACCAACAACTGTGTGTTGTCTTGGTTCGCTTGTTTCATACAATAACCATCCTCATGGTGTGACTCGGGAGACATTTTTAATGAGGTTTGAGTTGAATATGTGTAGTCCTGGAAGCACCTTCACACCACTTTTCCACAGATCAGTCTGAAAGCTGGGCTGGGTTTCTTACCCCCACCCCCAGAGTGTGTGATTTAGGGGTAACCTTCCTTGGCTCGGCTCCAAGAAGTGAGAGGGGGACTGACTTCAAGCTGGACTGACTCCAGGAGAGGAAGCCATATCTCCCCTCACGGACTGGTGTTCAGAGCCCACGAGGGAACCAGCCACCCCCAGGTTACATAAGAAATCACCCCAGTCCCGCCTTTCCCTCTCTCTGAGCAAAACTGGGTTCAGAAGACAAGCAGAAGGGGGAGGGGGTTGCAGAGTCTGTGAGGTCACCACACTCACCTTGGGCGTCACCCTTCGTCTCTCTCATGTACTTGCTTTGTTGTTATACTTTTCACTCTTTTCCTTTTTTACATAAGAAACATAAATACTTTCCTTTCCTAAGTAGTTTCTTCAACACAGAAGTGTGTGGCGTAAAACTATGGAGGTGCGCTTCACTGCCCTCCCAGAAGGAGACTGTCTCTCTCGGCCTGTCCCCTCCGGCCTTCACGCATGTGCACATGGTCACACACACGGGCGCTTTGCTTCCGTTTTCACACAGGTGGGAGCATGTCCCACTCCGCTCTCAGTACTCACAGACCCACTTCATTTACTGTGATGGCTGAGTGTTACCCACCGGGTGGAGAGCCCATTCCTCTGCAGCCCAGCGAGCTTTCCAGTCCCCTGCCTTCTCCCCCGGCTGGTTATAAACATCCTGAGGGCACAGCTTTCCATCACCGAACACTTGATACACATTTTCCTACAAAGTGAAAGTCAGTGCGTAGTTACTGACGGGAAGAGTCCCTCCCTGTCCCACATGGATGCTGTCCCAGCGCTCCCGACAGCCAGGGGCGGAGCCCTCCTCCGAGTGAGGAGGGACCCGGCACCACAGTCCATCCGTGTGTCGCTCTTTTGTCTGTCAACACCGTGACGAGTCGATCTGCTGGCCAGGGCGAGCTGCCCAGTTCCCTTGGCAATGTTTTCTGGGTTCGGGTGGTGCCCGGCCTCAGTCCCCCAGAACAAGGAGCCCGAGGGCTTGGGACACTCGCGGTTACACATTATCTCATTGTCTGGCCCACCTGGGAGCATGGGGCCGCGTTAGTAGCAGCCTGTGCTTCCTGCAGATCCATTGTAAGGATTACTAATGGTGTTCACAGACTGCAGAGCTGGAGCAGCCCCCCGTATGCCTACACACACGCTATTAATAACCCTCTCCAGGCTTCCTGAGGCAGCCAAACCTACATAAAACAGAGTACAACCGAGCCCCTTCTAGACCCTCTGGTGGGGAGAAATTACTTCAATATGCGGCTATCACCTCAAAACAGACAACCAGACTCGGGGCAGTCACCCTGTAAGCAGATGCCGGTGTTCGGACCTGTTGATAGCGTCAATGAATGTCATCTCGGGCCTTGGTGGGCTCCTTGTACTTCTGCATCTGCCCGGCTTCCTGCAGTAGCCGGCACGTTCCCGTTGTGCGGGAGCAGGGAAGGCAACGCCTGCCGCCCAGATGCGCTCCCTGCTCTGGGGATGGCTTCACACTGTGGACCTCGACAGGCAACCTGGGCCGACGAAAGGGAATCAAGCAATAGGAACGAGACTGGAATTGGTTTGTGTCCCTCGGCTGATAACACGCAAGGGGAAACATTCTGCTCAATTGGATTAATTAATATTGATTATGGAAACTCTGGTCCCTGCCACTAAGGCGTCTACAGGCGAATTGGGGAACTAGGGCGCCCACCTATGAACAATTGGACGATATGCGATGAAGCCCAGGTCAATACCTATTGCAGGCTGAGAGGGACCATCCATTGCGGTAGGAGGCTGTGCTTCCGAACAGGGTCGTCATCGCCTTGATCCGGGCCGAAGCGACCGGGCCTGGCAGAGCTGCTCGCTGGCAGGAGACACGAGCAGTTCTCTCTGGGGACCAGCCTGTGCCTCTTGGCTGTCTTGCAGGCCTGTATACTGTCTTCCTCTGTCGGGGTCAGAAGGTCCCCAATCTGCCTCCCTCTGTTTCTGCCACCCTCCTTACCTTGAAAGAGCCGTGACCTTTAACGACCTTGGTTACCCTTCTTCCTCCCCCCAAACCCACTACCTCACCCTATTTTTGTTGTGTTGTTGTTTTATTTCAGAGAGAGGAAGGGAGAGGGAGAGAGGGGCAGAAGCAGCAATGATGAGAGAGAATCTTTGATCAGCTGCCTCCTGCACACCCCACACTGGGGATCCAGCCCCCAAACCTGGCATGTGCTCTGACGGGAATCGAACCCTGACCTCCTGGTTCATGGGTCCACACTCAACCACTGAGCCACACTGGCCAGCCCTCACCCTGCTTTGTTGAGAAAATATTGCTGGCAGATGAAAAAGATAGAATCGGGAGAAAACCTAGAATACCTCTTGTCAACAACAGTTAAGAGGGTTTATATAAATAGGTCGGAGCACACCTTAAGGGGCCGGCGGGCGTTTCCTGTGCAGGCTCCACCCCATGCGCTGGCACTGGGGTCCCCAGCACCCCTGTGGGTGTTCCTGTAGACAAATACTTTTTCAGGCCAACCTTGGGTTTTATATATATATATATTAGAGGCCCGGTGCACAAAATTTGTGCAAGGAGCTCGGTCCTCACAGCCTCAGCTGCCCCGGCTAGCCCTCGCAGCCCCAGCTTCATCCAGAAGGTCATCCAGACAGCTGTTTGTTCTAATTAGCATATTAGCTCTTTATTATATAGGATACTAGAGGCCCGGTGCACAAAATTCATGCAAGGGTGGGGAGGGGTCCCTCACCCCGGCCTGTACCTTTCCAATCTGGGACCCCTTGGAGGATGTCTGACTGCCGGTTTAGGCCCAATCCTGCAGGGCCGAAACAGGCAGTCAAACATCCCTCTCACAATCCGGGGCCACTGGCTCCTAACCGCTCACCTGCCTGCCTGCCTGATCGCCCCTAACTAATCTGCCTGCCTGCCTGATCACCCCTAACTGCTCTCCCCTGCCAGCCTGATTGCCCCTAACCACCTCTGTCTCAGCCCCCGCCATCATGGCTTTGTCGGAAGGTCATCTGAAAGATGTCTGGTCTAATTAGCATATTACCCTTTTATTACTATAGATATATATGGCTGCAGACCCTGGGAGTCAAAAGGGAAAGATGACACTTGCCCAGCCCCTTGGGGTTTTCTTTCAAGAGGGTTCTCTCTGCAGAATATTCTGTTTTAGCTGGTGATTAAAGAGGGGCCAAACGGTCCCAGGCAAAGGGTTTTCCTTCTGGCCAAGCCCGTCTCTCCCAGAGAAACAGGCCAGGCTGGGCCTGGGACCGCCCTCCTCACCAGAGCCAACTGCTCCTCGTAGGTTAGGGTCTGGTCCACCTCAATTTCCATGTGTTACCTTCCTAGGGGGTGCGAGGCCCAGCCATCTGGACGCAGGCCCAGCCGCCCAGGACTGTGCACGCCCAGGTCTCCGCTCTCCTGCCGACACCAGCGACCACCCAGCCCAGCCGGACCACATGGCCCCCCGTTCTCCTGATGTATGAGGTGGGTAGAAGGCGCTCCCGTCAAAACGGAGGACGCCAAGGGATTCATTCGTTAAAATCTGTAAACATGCGTCGTTGTAATTATTACTGTAGCTGCTAGTTGGAACTGAACTGGCCCAAAGGACAGACATTTGCAGCGCTGCTTCTGCGAGCTGTGCTCACTGCACTGGAGGGCGAGGAGGCCCAGCCCCCGCTGCCACCCCCCACCAGGCTCTGGGTGTGGGTTCCAATCCCTCTAGGAAGGGGGGGCATCTGAGACCCGTGGGGACGCTGTGTGCCTGCGGCGGGGCCCAGTCCCTCCTGCTCCCCTGGGAAGTCGGAGGCAACACGGCCAACGCAGCAGCCGTGCCCAGGGCGGGCGGAGACAGGACGGCAGCCTGACACTGAGCTCACCGCTGCTTCTTAAATGTCTGCTCAGTATGTACTGAGACGAAGGGCTGAGAGCTCTGAAGACACTCAGGGCCCAACAGGAAGAAAGGCCGGGATGGGGCGCCTCCATCGCTCCCCGACCTCCAGAGGATTCATTTCTGGCTGAAATTGTCAGTCTCCTCACAGCCAAACGAAAGCCCCACTATCAGAGGCAATGGCCTTGAACCCAAAGTCCTGGCTGTGCAGCTGTGCCCTCCCCCTCCCGGCCCCTGTGCAGCTGTGCCCTCCCCCTCCCGGCCCCTGTGCAGGTGTGCTCCCCCCTCCCTGGATGCTTCTCCTGAGGGGAGTCTGGGGGAGACTGAGGTCTGGGCCTCCGCAGTGGTTTCTGGGGCGTTAGGCCTTAGCTGGCTGTCCTGGCTGAAAGGAAGTGTGCTTTCTTGCGTCCAGCAGGGGGTGGCCCTGTGCCTCTCGCCCCCTCCCACCCCTCCCAGGGCCTGAGGCCTCCCAACCTGTCAGAGAGGCCATGACGTCGGAGGGGCAGGAAGTTGGGGAAGGTTAATTCTGGTTTCTTCCCTGGCGCCCCTTGCACAAGCCCTCAGTAACCTCCCCAGGCTCGAGGTGCTGCCGTGACACCCGGTACGATGCCAAGGTTCCCAGCTGTCCCCCAGGTCCCCGGCTCCCGCACTTCCCCTGGGCCCCCCCTTCCTTGAGCCGCCCGGAGTGGGTCCTCTCATCCAGCATGATCATCTTCCTTCGTCCCCTTGAGTCCCGAGTGACCACCCGAACCCCTTTCCGCGTAACGATGGCCAGACTGTTACCTAGAACGGGAAATATGTGGCAGGAAGGAGGCCCCCTGGAGTGAGCAGTGATTTGCAAACACCCACCTCCGGACAGCCCTGGAAACACCTGTTCTTGGAGCGTTTCCACCACAGGCTGTGCTGGAGGCCCCGGGTTTCTGGGCGTTCCAGTGACTTACCAGTGATCAGAACTGATCCTAATCCATTGGGGGGGGGGGGGCAGTGATCACACCACTTTTAAGAAGAAGGTCTCCTTGACCAGCGGCACCCCCACCAGTCAGCACGGTGCGGTGGGCGTGCACAGGGAGCGTGTGTTCCCGTGTGGAAGGCGGCAGCACCCTGGTGGCTAAGGCCCTCCCTCTGTGATGAAGCATCAACACTCACCGCGGGTGGGAGCAGTCCAGGGACTGTGGCTTCTCTTTCCCGTGTGTCTTGACCTTTGAGCACAACTGTTTTATACCCGCCCCCCCAACCCCCCCAGTTCAGGTCTTACCTTCGACTGGCGGACCGTTGTTGCCATTTCTTGTAAGTTCTGATGCTCCGCAATATGCACTTTGTTCCATAATAAATGAATGAATAGTTTTACTTAAAAAATCAAAATGGTGCCAGGCCAGTGTGGCTCAGGGGTTGAGCGTTGAGCCATGAACCAGGACCCGGTCGGGGCACATGCCGGCGTTGTGGGCTCCATCCCCAGTGTGGGGCGTGCAGGGGGCAGCCGGTCCATGATTCCCTCTCATGGCAGATGTTTCTAGCTCTCCCTCTCTCTCTCTTCCTCTCTCTGAAATCAATAAAAGTCAAAATGGTCTAGAAGGGAGTGATATTAGAAATGAAAGTGCTTCTCCCCAGCCTTGACCCTGAGCTCAGTTCCTAGAGGCGACGCTGTGAGCAGCTCCTACATACAGAGCCTCTGACGGGCTCTCTGCCTCCTTCTCACACAGACGGGCCACACGGAGCCCCGAGCCCGGACCCTCCGCATTAGCGCCTGGAGGTGCACTTAACCTTCCAATGGCGCGTACTATTCAATCGCACGGGGGCCGCGACTTAACTAGCCTCTTAGTGAAAGCATTGAGCTTTACCCAGTGTTTCCCCCCCACAAACAGTCCATGGGGACTGGGTGTCGTGTGGCGTGTGCCTTTGCTTGCTGTGAAGGGTGTAACTATGAGATGACTTTCCAGCCGAGGGTGGGAGAGCGTTCACAATTCGCATGTCGATCATTATCGCCCAACTGCTTTCCAAAAACAAGAGCCCAGCAGCAGGGTAGTGCCACCGGGCATCTTCTAAAAACAGCAAGTGGCCAACTCAGGTATCAGAAAATGGAAGTCGGGGTGCGTGAGGAGTCCCCCACACACAGGCCCACCGTGGGGGCAGCCCAGCCAGGAAGGGTGCAGTTACGGACGGCCCTCTGCGTTTCTCTTCTGAAGGTAAATCTATCCGATTGGGTCAATATTTTCATTTCACTGCGGCCACATGAATCCATCCTGTGTGTGTGTGTGTGTGTGTTGGGCAAGGGGCACCACTGGGGGTGATGGCACAGGGTCTCTGAGTATTGATGAGCTGGTGGGGGGATGTTCTCAGGTGAAAGTCTGGGGCTCTCCGACCTGAGCTGTTCTTAGGATTCCTTCCCCCTCCAGTCACCCCGTCTTCACAAACTGCTCTGTCGTACGGCCTTTCCTGTTGTCCGCTTGGAAATTACTACAGGGAGGGGTTCGTATGGTCCTCGCTCCGGGGTTTGCTCCCCCACAGCTCAGGGCGGGCCTCCTGCAATGCTCCCCCCCTTTCTGGGGTGAAAGGCTACTTTCAACAAGTCCCGTCTCATACGGACCCGTGCTTCTGTACAATGCTAGAAATATGCAGCCGCTAGAGAATGAAATAAGGAATAAAGACATACAAAATGCAAGCCCGGTTTCTTTTTGTTGGATTTACGCGACAAGATTAAATCCGTCCTTTGCGATCCAAGCTTTGAAGGGCCTGCTCTCAGGGCCTGCTCTCCCCGGAGAGGGGCGGTCTGTGTGGCCGTCCGGTGCGCAGCCAGAGTCCCGCTTCCCGTGGGCCCTGCGCCTCTCACTTCACGGGGGGAGCGAGTCTCATCCACCAGGGAATGTGGTGAGGTTTCCGCCAGGAGGCCCTAGGTCAGTGCCCAGCACGCACTGGGCTTGAGCTGAAGCTCCGTGCTCTGCCAGGGCCCCTCCTGCCCAGCGGCCGGGTCCGGGCAGGACCTGTGTGCAGGGGCCGTGATCGCTGTCTTCGGCCTGGAAGACGTGGTCTCTTTCCTCGGTTTCCCTGTTTACTTGGTCTAAGGGGACACCAGCCTTCTCTTTCCCGTCCCTTCTCTCTAACCCGCTGCAGACGAGCCACGTGTGAAACGGGACGTGTGGCTGAAAGGGAGGTGATAGCACTTTTTCTATTGCATCAACCATTCAACCGTCTCAGTTCACTTTTTTAAAAATATATTTTATTGATTTTTTACAGAGAGGAAGGGAGAGGGATAGAGAGTTAGAAACATTGATAAGAGAGAAACATCGATCAGCTGCCTCCTGCACACTCCCCACTGGGAATGTGCCCACAACCAAGGTACATGCCCTTGACTGGAATCGAACCCAGGACCCTTCAGTCCGCGGGCCGACGCTCTATCCACTGAGCCAAACACTGTTGGCTCAGTTCACTTTTTAAACAACTTTACACCTTGGGAGATACTTCGAATAGGCCTCCATACAAGGAAAATAATGAGCAACAGCTCCTGAAAATAGGGGTTTTTTGTCTTTTGTCTGTGAAAGGGGCGCGCGACTGCAAGTTTAAAAACTTTGAGAAAACTGGTTTTCACATTTCCTTTTGGAACCTGAAGTATCAGGTCACAGCGGCATCTAGTGGACGTTAGTGATATAACAGTTGGAGTGGACTAGACAGAAAATGACAATATAGTCATTTTTAGTGCTGGATTTCATCGATTATAAGACTCAGGTTATTTTTCCTGCTTTGAACATTTTTAAATTGGGATGTGGCTTGTAATATGTGACATGGCATCTTTTTTTCCTCAGTGGTACTCTGTCTTACAATTGTTCACATCTTAGTTTCATCAAAATATGATCTTTGATATGGACTTTTGTAGGATGTTCGCTTAGGAATTCATTATTTATGGATCAGCTGCTTTGTATGCATTGACTCACTGCATGCATTACATTTGTTGCATGTGGTTGCATTGTATTCGAGACTTAATTATAGGGCATAAGGTGGACCGTTCTCCTTTGTGCTGCATTAATGCATTGATATTAATGAGACCTAACCCATGTGCTTAAAAACCCGTTACTGCTGAGGCTCAGTGGTCCTCGGCCCTGGTGGCCTGTGAGCATCACCTGCAGAGCCTTCGCCTCCCCTCAGACCTGCTCCAGCTGGTCCGACGTGGGGCCCCACATTAGGAATCGTCAGAATCTCCCAGGCTCTTACATTCCACTGGGCAGCTCCAGTCGAGAACATTGTCCTTCACTCAAGTCAGATGCTTTCAAGATTATATAGACTCACCCCAGCCGGTTTGGCTCAGTGGATAGAGCGTCGGCCTGAGGACTGAATGGTCCCGGGTTCAATTCTGGTCAAGGGCACATGCCTGGTTGTGGGCTCATCCCCAGTGTGGGGCGTGCAGGAGGCAGCCAATCAATGATTCTCTCTCATCATTGATGTTTCTATCTCTCTCTCCCTCTCCCTTCCACTCTGAAATCAATAAAAATATTTTTTTAAGCCAGCACCGGTTTGGCTCAGTGGATAGAGCGTCAGCCTGCGGACTGAAAGGTCCCAGGTTTGATTCCGGTCAAGGGCATGTACCTTGGTTGCGGGCACATCCTCA